GTTGAAGGAATAAAACTTTTTGCCAACCAACCGGAGTAGTTAACACCATCTATGTAACAAATACACTATTTACAGAGTTATCTTTTCTTGTCTTTTGTGTCGATTGGTATAAAAATCAGGATATAAAATTCGGTTGATGTTACCCGACCATTGACCAATCTAAACATTTCTGACAACATTGTAGCCCCCTCAGTTTTAAGCAAAAATCTGAATCTACTTCTATGACCCATAGTGATATATATATTTTTTCTTTCCACCTCTAAATTTTTGAAAGAAAAATGAAAATATATGAAAATGCTATAAACAGATGGCAAAAGGAGAGGAAAGTTTTTTTTTCCTACACGTGCGGGTCTTCTAGACATTTTTATTATTATTATTATTATTATTATTATTATTATTATTATTATTATTATCATTTGTTGAATTAACATGACTTTAATTGCCGTATGATTTATGAGCAATCGCATCCTTCCAGGCCTGAAAATTCCCTGCTAATAAGATGCAGTAGGCCGGGAAACAAGATCGAACTGAACAACTTCATCCATCAGTTTGAATTGGCATCTGGTACTTTTCAGGCTGTTTTCAGATTGGGGATGATTGGACAAGTCGGAGACAAAGACAACCATTTCGGATTCAGCTTTACCGATTGTAGTAATGAACTGTTGATAAATATTGACTTATCAAGAGCTTTAATTTGAAAATCAGCAGAGTTTTCTTACTCGCATTATTGAAGGGGGTATACATTGAACGTTAAATAAAGTTCTCAAACTCCTTAATTATCCATGCAGCTCTTACCCAACCAGAGCATCTTATTCTGGTCAGGTGGATGGGTTTAGAAACCCAATGAAAAACGAGTTGAAAACACGGCCGTGTTTGAAATTATTTCAAACACGGATGCAAATGTCTTAATCTGCATATTGATAAAGCAAGAAAAACACATGACGATAAACAACTCTATTTAATTACACATTTTACAAAACAACTTTAAACTTAAATTTATATTTACCGCTGAAGTTAAATGTAACGGTACAGTTATTAAACTCCCCAAAACAGAAAGGGCCATTCTTTTTCTAAATATGAATTCTCGCTCAATGGTGGCGAGCTCGTCGTTTGGTTTGCTTTCAACCTTGCTGTACACTCCCGACCTAAAATGGTACTAACGTCAGAAACTCCTAGTTCTAAGGCGTACTAATTTACTATCTACGCCTGCATTTAACAGACTAGACGTACACGTTGCCTCGGAATAGCGCTGGCCACACACTTTTTCTCTTCTTTGCGAGTTTTAGTAGGTCTAAATCTGCACTCTGCCATTTGCTTTGCGAAGTAACGTGTTCGCTCAGAACTGACAAACAGCTAGGTAACAACCTGACATTGATTAATATTAAAAAATTGTTACAGAGCAGCAATTAAGTGATAGAATCACAATTTCACGCCTCAAATATAATATTTGAATTGAGAAACCTTTTCTAAATGATAATTTAAACTAATTTTCTTCCTTGGAGAAGTAATTTCAAAAACTCGTGCTTCGGGTTTCATCAGGTTTCCAAACGTGAGGAAACACGAACCACGAGGCCACAGGCCGAGTGGTTTTATTGTTTCCTCACGTTTGGAAACCTGATGAAACCATCGCACTCGTTTTTGAAATAGTACCTAAATTCCTATTCCTAACACAAGTTGTCAAGTCTAGCTTGATCTGTACCCTAACTTAATTGCAGAACAACCACAACAGTGTCACTTCGATGTTGTCTCACTTCTCTAAATATTGATTCAGCGAAATTGAAATTGCAGCCCTGAAACTAGTACACATTGCGGATGTTAAAGTTATAGTTTATTACCTGCATGTCCACAACACAATTAATGCAAATACTTTCGCTTGTTGCTACAGTTCAAAAGGTATAGATATGAGCTTGTTAGGTCTACACTTATTTTTAAATTTAAGGAACTTATAAGCCATATATATATATATATATATACTGTTTAATCCCTAGGAAGCATTTTGTGGAAATTTTGCGCAAACGGCAAATTCAAAGCGGCAAAAAGCAATTAACAACTTGTCAGAAGATTTCGGATGCGCTGAATGATATATATAGATGCTTTGCACTGGTTACGTTTTAGCAAAGGCTTTAAATGCCTTCTGTGTTTTTAGTCTGATCTCCTTTCGAAACAATAGAGCAATACATGCACCCCATCTGTACTGATCACGTTCAAAGTAAAAACTTCCGCGGCTGTTCACCGAGTCCACTCCTAGGACTCCCAGCTCAATGCAAGATCTAGTCTGATTTACAGCAGTTCAGTTGTTTGATTGTGTCTTTAGCTGCTTGACGTACCGCGCCGATCCTCCAGCAGTAAAGGATCGGGTTTAGAGACGAATTTAGGTAGATAAGAGTTGCTGTAACGTAGCGAGCAATTTCAAATTTACTTCCAGATATTTGGCCATATGTCATGAGCATAACCCGCACAACGATATACGGGATATAGCATGTAACTAACAATAACTGCACCCATAATGCGCTTGAAACCGACTTTTTGTATCGTGCTATGTTCAGAGCCACCTGTCTTCCTCTAGGTTTTCCTTGCAGGGCTGCGTGCACTTGAAGTTGTTGTTGTCGAAGCTTCAGATAAATCGTCGAGTAGGAGAGGACAGAGGTTGCTAGAGAAATTATTTTAAGAGTAAAGCTAACCGTAAAGGCAGCATTAACATTCCAAAAGTACATCGATCCACATGATATACCAATCAACCAAAAGCAAATGATAACTGCGCGAACTCGTGATAATGTTACAACATGTCTGTATCTCAGTCCAGATAACAGGGCTTGAAGTCTGTCCACGCTTATTGCACCAGATGTTAAGATCGATACTTGACACAAAACAAAGCTTGAGGCGTTATATAGCTTATCGATGTAGAAAATAAATCTCCCGTTCATTCCAGTTGTTACAGACAACAAAAGGAAAACGGCAAAAAGTGGTTGCGAAATAACTCCAACACAGAGATCGGTGATCGCCAGACATTGGAACAAACGTTTTGTCGGTGGATGAAGAGAAGTCTCTTTATGAAGAGCAACAAGGATCAGAGCATTGCCCAGTGATGCAGCGATGGACAGAAAAATGTTGAAGGTTGAAAGAAATTCGACTCTTCCTATTTGTAATTTTGATATGCTTGTTTGGTTCATATCCCTTATGAAGTTTTTCTTCTACGGACAAGTTCTTCACTGCTCGTGCGTCGAAACGGCAAATTTTAATTTTGTTCCGGGGAAAAGAGTCTTTTGCGAAGCGGAGTGGATGTATGGCAGCTCTAAGCTGGCAGCTTGTATTTGTGCATGTAAAAACTGACAAATCTACAATAATGAATTTTCCCAGTTCTGTCTTAATTAATGAAAACGTAGTGACATAGACAAGACTTCATTTACAAAACTTCTGCTGTATGACAATCAAAAGTGGAATAAATAACTCGTCACCTATTCAAATCACTTCTTTTACTTCCCAGAAGCAAAGTTTCTCAGTGCTGCAAAGATCTAATAATGTGGTCACTTAGAGAAAAACGTTTCCATGGGAAGAGTGTTTATCGGTTTTCTTCTTATTTTAACGGATTAATCCATGCTATGCTTGGATAATACTTGATCCGCGGCACAGGAAGTTATAAGGTATGAGCTGAGTCCAAAGTGATTGATTAGCCATCTGGGTTTCCGGAATATGTTCCGTGTTATCCGATCAAACTGTTTTTAGTTGTTCTTGGGCATTAAACGTTTTGTTTTGTCGAAGTTAAGATGTACCTTGATCAGGACGACAGGAATACAGGGTTGTATACGTAGGGGCTGAAGCTCCACTAAAAACAGTATTTTAAAACAAGCACAACATGTAAAATATTGTTTTTAACACTGGGAATAAAACTCGTGTCTCCAGGGACAACTGACTTTGGAATAACCTATCCTGCTATTGAAAATAGCTTAAATTACCAACCAACCATTTGATTTGCATTTTAGCGCCAAAGCGGTCGCAACGCTGGGACTGACAGAGGCGGGAAAACTGCAGGTGGTTAAGGTAGTTTGCGTCTGGTGAAAACGTAGCGAAAAAATTGAAGCTTGTTCAATGAGACAAGCCGCGTATTGGAAGAAACCTGCATTCTTCAACTCATATCTGTGCCATCTTGATCGGTGGTTTTGAAACCAAACCTTCAAATAGCAGAATCCATGCTTATTATGATGCGAGTTAATTAGAGCTAAAAATAAACCATTTTATTTCCGTTTTGAAAGAAACACAGGTCGGTAAACTCTATTGCAACACGCCTGCCCCGCAACTATACAATAAAAAGAAAGAAAGCTAATTTCCGCATACATGGAGCGTGTGGCTGAGTAAGTGACGCAAACTGCGTTTTAAGTGTGATAATCATAACGCTTAAAGTAACGCATAAAGCGTTGGGAATGTCACGTTTTGTTTATACGGAATCTTTATTGGTGTAAAAAGCGGCACAACTTAATTTTCATTTTAATAAATTAAAGTGAGTTGATGATTAACTTGTAGGTGAAAGAGAAAACAAACAGCGGTTACAGACATAAAAAACAGGTTTCACATTGTATATTAAACTTGACGTTTCGTATGCTACAACATACATCTTCAGAAGTGACGGTTACAAAATATGAGAAGATTTAAAGTGCTACTGTGATGAAATTCTCGATATCCACTTCTTTACATTTTCGTACAAAATAGGTATTTCCAAGATATCTTGCAAAATTTCAATCTATTACGAACATTAGAACTCGCGGTTTTTGGACCTTTATTTCCGAGAATTACGGCCGCCATTAATTTTCCTTGTTCGAAAGCTTGGTTGAGAATTGGAGAAAATGATGTCATTTTCTCAAAAATACCGCACGGGTTGAAATTATAACAACAATTAATGTAGAAAATTGCACGAATATATCAGTCAAAGTTTTTGTTATTCTTTATGCGAGTTGCTTTGCTAATTGTCATTATAATTTCAACCCGCGTGGTATTTTTGAGAAAATGACGTCATTTTCTCAAATTCTCAACCAGGACTTGGAACAAGGAAAATTAATGGCGGCCTTAA